GTTATGGCCACTCTTTTTACTCATGACCGATGCTTCACACTTATTATGACATCAGATTTAGTCATGCACGAGAGAAAATTATTTATTAGCATATAATTTGAATTTACTTTAAGCTACAATAGCCATTTTCCAATACTGTCTGATTGCATATAGGCTGAAGAAACTGCAATGGAGCAAAAGCTCAGGGAACTCCAAGTTGAGGTAGCTGAAGCTAATGCTAGTTGTCAGAGGTAATAGATTATATTCCTTTTTTTTGGTCACATTTGTACTGTATGCTTTTGGTTGCTGGGAATCAGCAATTGTTTGATCTAAATTAAATGGTTATATCCAGATTGAAGGAGGAAGAAGATGGAATAGCACAGAAGATAGCTATGGTAGAAAATGAAATATTAAAAATAACAAAACAGGTGTGAAATATTTCTGTCCATTTGCTTCCTGCTGATTCCTTGTACACCTTCTGCACCATAATAGAACAAGGAATTGGCTGCACATTCTTTTACTTGAAATAAATTAAAAGATATTACAGTGTCGAGTTTCTTTATTTTTTTTAACGAGTATATGCTTTTGGGATCCTCATTTATGAATAGTTCTCGTGCTGGTTAATATCATTTTCAGATAGAAGATTTTGAAAGAAGCCATCGTGATATTTCATCTCGTATCCATGAGCTTCAAATGAACCAAAAAAATAAGGTCAGTAGAGTCTTATCATGTATATTCGTATAAGTTGCTTTCTCTTATTTCTCTTATTTTAGGACTCTTCATCCTTATTTTCACGTTCCATTATTGTTGAACCTTTTGCACCTTCTGCATCATTCATTTCAGTTTTTGACCAATGTTTGCTTTCTGAAGGTTACTGCTTTTGGCGGAGGTCGGGTGATCAGTCTTTTGCAGGCCATTGAGCGGCACCAACATAAATTTAGCAGCCCACCTATTGGTCCCATAGGTGCTCATGTGGTAAAACAGTGACGGTGATGGATATTTCACCCTCTCCTAGTGCATCCTTCTTCATATAATCATTTTTTTGCCGGGTTTATATTGGATTATCATCTTTTGGTTCCATAACTGAATGCATTGTTTGTGTACTTATAAATGGTGGGTTTCCTATTGTTTCATTTCAAATTGTTTTGTAGTATTCCATAGAAAATGCATTTTAAGAATGAAAAGCTATATATTGTTGTTTTTGTTGTTGTTGTTTTTTAATGATGTGAAAAACCAACAATATAAACCTTAAGTGTAAGGTAAAGTTTGGAAAGCTTTTGCAACCTATAAGCATTTCAGTTAAATTGTTTATTGCAGAAATTGGAACACGGAGACATGTGGTCTGTAGCTATTGAATCTGCAGTTGGCAGGGTACTTAATGCTTTCATTGTCACTGATCATCAAGATTCCCGTACTCTAAGAGCATGTGCAAAGGAAGCAAACTATCACTACTTACAGATTATCATTTATGACTTTTCCAGACCAAGGTAACATCCTAAACTCATGTATGTGAAGTGTAATCAGTATTCAGTTCCCAATTATGTTTGTCTAAATCAACCTTTTCCAATGGATCACTTGTTGTCTTTTGGTAGAATTGACATTCCGAGGCACATGCTTCCTCAGACTAATCATCCCACCGCCTTCTCCGTTATGTGTTCTGACAATCCTACGGTGCTGAATGTTTTGGTTGATGTGGTAGACTTTGAATCTTCTTATGAACTCTTGTTTTTACTTCTGTTTTTTATTATCTTTGGTTTTGAATTTTATATTATAGCTGATCGTAGAAGCCAACTTTGTTTCTTGTCTAAGCTAGTCTTCTATTTTTATTTTTTTCCTTCCTCCTCTTACCCCACTTATGCACTACATGTATATAATGTTCTACCTTGCATCTTTTAGAAGTTAGAAAATTTCAACAACTTGAGATATGGCATCTGCTGTTAAGTGACGTTGGAAAATGCAGTTGGCATGATCACTCAAATTCAATAAACCAGTTTTGCTTTAAATTACAATACATCAAATTTGTAATATCTTTATTTTGGTTCTTATGTCTTCCGTATTTCCGTATGAAGTTGTCAACACTGTTTTGGTGTTCTGCAATTTTGGCAGGTTGGTGCTGAGAGACAAGTTCTTGTCAAAGATTACGATGCTGGTAAAAAGGTTGCCTTTGAGCAGAGGGTAGCAAACCTGAAGGAGGTCTTCACGTCTGATGGGTACAAGATGTAAGATTGGAACTGTTTTATTACCATGAACTATGTCCAGATTACTCTTTTTGTCATTTTATTAATCATATTATGTTTTTTCCTCTTTTTTTATCTGCATATTTCTTTCTTTTTCGAACTGTAATACATATCACTTTCGTAGATCATATACCACAAACACTCTGTATTTAATAGAAAACTATGGGCTGTGGAGGGTCCACCTTCCCCTGCCATTCAGTTGAACATTATAACATTATAAGTCTGTTCTCGTGTGATGTTTATTTCAAATGTCTAAAAGATGTATTGGATATTTTGTTAGCTTTAAAGCAGCATCGTTTTCAGGTAGTACAGATCAGAGCTTACAAGTTTCATGTTAAATATATATGCTTGTCAGTTGAACATTATAAGTCTATGTTCTCGTGTGATGTTTATTTCAAATGTCTAAAAGATGTATTGGATATTTTGTTAGCTTAAATGCAGCATCTTTTTCAGGTAGTACAGATCAGAGCTTACAAGTTTCACGTTAAATATGTATTCTAGTCATTTTAATTTGCTTAAATGAGGCAGTTCATAGCTTCAAGACAATGATTAAGTGGGGTTATTTGCAGGTTTTCCCGCAACTCATCCGAAACTATTCTTCCCCCCCACAAAAGCTCGAATTCTCGTCGTCTTTGTGGTTCGTTTGATCATGAGATTAAGCATCTGGAAAAAGATGTATTGGAAACAAAAGAGAATGTTCAAAGAGGCCGAGGCGTGAAACGGGCTAAGGAAGAAGATTTGAGAAATCTTCAGGACATGTTACGCAGTGTAAAGGTATCCCTAGCAATATATACTTGGATGTGAAAATACTTTTGTCCCATTCCATGATATAAGGGTTTCTGCATTTAAATCATTCTGGTTGCAAAAGGAATGTAATTGTCATGGATAGCTGATAGCATCGATAAATTGAGTAGACGTTACAAAACTCTTCTGCAGTAATTCAATGTCATGATACAACTTTCTAGTTGAGAAAGGATCTCTGGTAAATTGATCCCAGAAGATTATTTTATCATGAGTAATGTTCTTTGAAGATGGTTAGCAATCACTCCAAGAAAATTTACTTTTCACATATTTGCCTTCATTTTTCTTCACTTAAAAAAATTTTGTCTTCTCTGATGCAATGCTTATACAAACGCGGTATTTGCACTTCATTAAACTGCTTTGTTGCAATAGATTTTCGGACAGAACTTATCCATCAATAAATGTTGGCTTTCATGTAAAATAAGATCAATGACATAGATTGAAACTTTTACATATACCAAGTAAGTTACTTCATAAGTGACTTTTCAGCAGGTGCTTCTTTAATGAATGTTTACCGGCTTAACTTGAATTTGCTCCTGGTGTTAAATTGTGTTTGAGTTGTGTCAATGAAATGTATTTAATATTTGCTGCATAATGGGCAATTCCAGAGGCTACTATTGTGTTGTATAGAAATGTTGCTTTGTGAATCCTGATCTTTTATCTGCTGTAATTTCTTCCAGAGAAGGCGCATGAATATGGAGCGGGACATTAGGCCGAAGATATTTGAGCTGGAAGATGTGAAAAAATTCCTCTCATTGGAATCTAATGCTGGGCATGTATCTACAGTGGATGAACTTCATCAAGAGATATCTGTCTGTTTCTGGAAACTTCTTCTCGAAATTTTTGTAATTCTTTCTCAAGTAGTTCTTTTTAGGATTTAGCTGAAATCCTAGTCTTTATAGGAATGTCATAAAATTTGTTGTTTTCCTTTTTCGGCTTGGAAATTACGTGCAGAAACTGCATCAAGAACTAGAAGGAAAGGAAACTTTGTTGGAAAAGCTTCAGAATAGAGTGAATGAAGCAGGAACTAAAGTTGACAATCTCAAAGCGTCATTTGATAATCTGTGCGGTATGCTACTTGTGTCCTTCATCATTATGGCTGGATCCCTATTTATTCTGCATGTCTCAGTCACTATGGTTTATTTGTAGATTCAGCGAAATCAGAAATTGATGCATTAACAGAAGCAGAGCGTGAACTGATGATGATAGAGAAAGATCTACATGTAGAAGAACAGGTCCTTGTCATTTACCCGCCTGTTTGCTTTCTTACAGTTCCCCTTCTGTTTGAAGTATATTGAATTTTTTTCTCCCACACTTCTTAATCAGGCGAAGAAAAATTATGAGGGCCATATGAATACTGAGTTGCTTTCTAAGCTAAAAACATTGGAGGCTGAATTTCAGAAGCTTGAGGATGAGTGTAAGGTGAATTTCAACTCTAGATCACAAGTTAAAATTTGTCTGTTTGCATTAATTGTGCGTCTGATTAAAGCCCTAGGTTTGACGAGTGCAGGTTATTTAATCATTTTGCTTATACTTAACATGCTTAATTCTTCTCTTTCATTCTCAAGCGACATCTGCTTTTTAATACTTTATGGTGAGTTTTAGGAGGACCGTCAGAAAACATCAGCTGTATGTCCTGAGAGTGAGATTGAGGCTTTAGGAGGCTGTAAAGGAAGCAGTTATGAGGAACTCGAGGCTCAATTTAAAATATTGACTCAAAGGCAGCAGCGTGAGAGCCGAAGGTAAAATCCGGTTTGTTCTATATTTTTTACCATCTTTATCCTCTTCCTTCTATATGTTAGGGACTTTCTGTTGCAGATTTTCAGAATCTATCGATGATCTCCGAATGACGTGTGAGAAAAAGGAGCGTAGGATCTCAAGAAAACAACAGACTTATAAAGCCTTTCGCGAGAAATTGGAAGTGAGTTAGATTTGGCATCCACTTTTTTCATGTTTGTTGTACATGATTATAAAGGGAAGAGTATTCTCCAAAATTTTTGTCTCGGTAGTTGATCAGTACTGTGGTAATTGAATCTGCTTTGTTCATCCCAGTGGCATAAGTTATTCTCCCTTATGTAAAAGCATACCTGGTATCAGTTGTAAAAGGATTTCATTCCAGTAATGCTCAAAAAGTCATTTACTTTCTTGGAACTTGTGTTTTTTCTAAGTCTTCATTCATTTTTTGAGCCTGAAGCTTATGTGGTTTTACTGGTACTTGTGTTTTTTTTGGTAATTTATTGATATGAATTTTTGAATTCAAGGTTCTCTATTCCTGCATTTATTGCTTTGCTCCTTGAAGTATGTTCAGTATTTTGATTACTTTGATTTTATCATAGGCATGTGAGAAAGCTGTACATTTGAGATGGAGCAAGTTTCAGAGGAATGCTACTCTTCTGAAACGCCAGCTAACATGGCAGTAGGACCTCTTCTATATATAGCTTTCTTTTCGGCATTAATTGGTTCACCATTGACTAGTTGACACTTCTTTCTAATAGATTTAATGGCCATCTGAAGAAGAAAGGGATAAGTGGTCAAATCAGAGTTAGTTTTGAAGAGCAAACCCTGTCAGTAGAGGTAAAATGCCGAATGAACCTGTCATGCTACTATCACCAATAAGAATCTGGTCCTATCTCCAAAATACGCTCTACCCTAGAGTGGTCACACTTCATCTCAGGCCATCACTAAATTTCGCTTCACATGGAATATATTCTCTTTCATTCCATTTATACTAACTGGTTATGAATACCAATTTATAATATAAAACATATATATTTTTTAAGGACCAAGTTAGTGTGTGTGTGTGTGTGTATATATATATATATATATAATATTTTTCATAAATAGGCCTCGATAGAATTATTCTCAACTAGCTCAAAGGGAGAGGAAGCCTAGCCACACTTATACACAATATCAATGTCGGACAAAGATAAACTTCTAATTATTTATAATTTTTAAGTGTTTGTATCTTGCAAAACAATATGCCTGTAAAAGTTTATTAGAAACGTAAACTTTACCAAGAGTAGCATAGGAAAATGACATAACAACAAAGACATAAGAATCATATGACAATAAAATTTATTAATTATCTGTTTTATATTTCAAATATATAAAAGAAAGTTTGACATGTTAGTATTCTATTTTTTTAAAAACATAATTTATTTAGTGACTTGATCTTGTAAATATAGTTTTTCTCTTGGCATCATACATTATCTAATTTCATATACCAAATACATTTCTATATTTTTATCGTTATATGGGGACTGTCAGAGGGAGTTAAATTCTTTAGAAACTGCTAGGTACAGGGATCGAACCTTGTATCAACCAGTGCAACACAACAGCCTTATAAAGAGTAAGAGATACCACTTGAGCTACAAGCTCGTGATATGTACCAAATGAAATTAGAAATTAAGTTAATTGTATTTGATGATTTGTCAAGATATGATATATTTTTAACACAATTCTCCGGAAATAAGAAGATAATAAAGAAAGCTTGATTGGGGAAATCAAGAACTTGCAGTACCAGAACATCACTGCACTCAATTCATTCTTGTGAAGGAGTTCCAGGGAGTAGGACAGGCTGGGCATGTAGAGCCCCTTTGGAAATGCGTTTTGGTTTTCAGAATGCTTTATCTTAAGCAAGAGTAACCGATCGATCAGCTATTTAATTTTCCCTTGTTTCTATTTTTTCTTGGATGAGTAGGTGAAAATGCCTCAAGATGCGTCAAGCAGCTCTGTTCGTGACACTAGAGGGCTTTCTGGTTTGCTTCTTTCAACTAAATATTATTCTGTCTTTTCTGTATTGAATTTGACTCTTTCATATATTGCGCTCTTCCCATATGTGGCTTTTTATGTTTAATAAGCCATTATACGACTCTGAAAGGTAATCATCATAGTTGGAGAGTGAGTCTTTTAATGTGCTTTGAACATCCCATGCCCATCATAGTAATA